ATTATTGGAGTACTGGACAGCTGTTTCACCCTAGTTTGGGAATCATCGCTAGTACGCACCCACTGCTGGATTTCGAAGCTAGGACCTTCCGGTTACAAGGCAAGCTCGTATACCATTCAGCCACTGGGACTCGATTCACTGGCCAGTCCATGAATTCTAACTTCTACCAATGCGTACTGCCGATGATTTCCAAACTAGGGTGAAACGGCTGTCCAGTACTCCCATAGTGGTTTTCAATGGTTCTCTAACTAAAATCAATCCACGGTCAAACCCGAAATACAAATCAACTCTTGGAGATCAATGTTTCATCAAGTAAAAACTGCTCCATCCTGCCTCCTCGTTTCATCTGGGAAATCTTCAACAATTCATTTCGTAGAAGATCCTGAAAAATATGATGTGATTCGAAAATGAAACAGTTTCCTACTGACTCATAGTTTCTAGCCTGTGCCATCTAATGATGTGTGATCACCATAGAAGACTTCCTGAAAACTAGGATGATTCAGCTGTCCAGTATATCTTGGTTTTAAGCTGTTATCTAACTGGCATTATTTGATTTGTGGTGACTAACAGTGGAATCCATGACACGTGTTTCATCTCTTTTGGGACTCCTCAACCTGGCGTACCTACCACCCTAGTAATCTATGGTGCTGCTACTGAGACTCAAACTCCGCACCTGCTTTTTCGAAAATACCAAAGAGTTATAGTTTGAGCTGCTTAGCCACATCAGTCGCAGTTTCTGCTACGATTACCAGTTCTCTAAATAAAGCTTTCAAACAGTAACAATTATCCCTTTAATGTCAGTAAAAAATTTGAGCATTGTGGAATAGATCAAATAAAGTATAATTATATTTCAGTGGTTTACACACAATGATAACTGTTTTGTTATTGGTAATATTTCGAGCAAAATTTACTGCCCGTGTTCACACCACTGTTGGAACTGTTTTGTTTTTTAATTCACACATTTATGATTTGTACTCATATATGCATAGTTCCTTTTTTGTTCATTCACTTTTGTGTATCCAGAATTATATTCCGGGTTGTTGACAGTTGTGCTGCTGAGTCACCCTTCTTACATGTATCCGGTGTGACCTTAATGAATATCGACTCTGTTATTAGTAGTCTCTCTTTTCATTTGTTCATATTAGTTTTTAGAATACACACATTGTTCCAATCGATATTGTGGTTTTTGTCCCATGCATGTGCAGCTATAGACGAATTTTTTCTAAATTCTTGTAAGCTTGTGTTCCTGTTGGTTGACCTTTAGTTAGGCGTTTATGTTCATTCACTCTTATTTCGAGTGATCTGGACGTTTGAACCACATATTTAGTCGGACACTCGGAACACATTGCTTTTATCCGTCATTTTTTATGGGATCTTTCAGTTGATTTATCTTATTTTTAATTAGATTTGTCGGTTTAAGCGTTGTGCGAATCCCAATATTTTTGAGGTTTCTTCGAATTCCGCCTCTGATGTACCATTTTTGTATGGTATTGTGACTATTTTACTCTCTTTTTTATATTATCTTTGATAAATTCTTTTGGGTAGTTGTTGTCGAGTAGCATTTTGAATAGGACGTTTATTTCTTTACGCTGGTCCTCTGGTATTGGTGTAAGTCTACGTATTCTATCTGCAAGACCTTTTATTAATCCTTGTTTTACCATGAGTGGATGAGCTGAGTGATAATCAAGGAATCTTCCAGAGTGTGTAGTTTTTCTATATAGCGTCGTTTTTATGCAACCATCTGTTACTCTTTGTATTTTACAGTCTAACATAGGCAGTTCCCCAATTTCATTCTCTATTTCCATAGTGAATTTTATTCAGTCGACATGACTGTTAATTTGTGTGAGGAGAATTTCTCAGCATCGTTCTGTGAACTTGGTTAACATATATATCGTTCTTCTTCATTATTACTAACGTGTCGTCTACATATCTTTCCCGACATTTTATTGATGATCTGAATGGTTTAAGTGCATTCTCTTCCCAAAAATCCATGAAAATGTCAGCTATTATTGATGAGATGGGCGATCCCATAACTGTGTTCTGTCTTTTAGGCCATTATCTTCTTTTAGTCTCGTTTTCAGTGCATTCTTCATGGCCATTTGATGAATGGGTATTTTAGTATAGAGACTGTTTACATCAAAGCTGACTAGTATTTCCTCTTCCTCTATTTTTTAGTGGTTTTTAGTCGTCTCATTAATTCAAATGAATCTACAATTATAGCTTTTGAGTTGTCTCTTGTCGGTCTTAGTATTGTCGAAAGAAATCTTGATAGCATATACGATGGTGTGTTTCTAATTTGCTCGAAATATTACCAATAACAAAGCTTATCATTGTGTGTAAACTATTGAAATATAATTATACTTTATTAATACTAATGCTATTAAACAATTATCAAAGAAAGCGCGCCAAGAATTATTTATTATTTAAACATTTAACGAAATGTTCAAGCGTTTCAATGTACTTATGCATTCTGAATTTATATTTTGTTTATTGAACCAATGAAGGGAAATAGAAACTATTATAGAAATTGTATATTTTAAAATTTTTTTTTTCATTATCTCTTACAATAAAATAAGCTGTTGAAAGTTAGAAGATGAGTTCGCTCTTTTGTCTTAAGATAACAACAGAGAGTTAAACAGTTCCGAAGAAATCTGCTTATATCAGTTTGCCATTCAAAGGAGATGATGTACAAGAGGTAGTTAAACGAAGACTGAATAAAGCTATCAAGAGAACTTATTATGCTGCAAAACTTGTTTTCCTTAACACCACCACCAAGCGAGTGCTTCAACAATCTGGAAAAGACCAGTCCCTAATCCTCGACACTTCAGACTACGTATATCAATTTGAGTGTGTTTGTGGAAGCAAATACATTGATTGTACGGAAAGGCGATTGTCTACTGGCATGATGGAGCATTTGCCAAAATGGTTGAAAACAGCTGAATGCAAAGTGGCAAAATCCTCAATAACAAAGCACCTTGTGGATTACGGGCATGATATCGACGCGGTCAAGTCATTCACCATTGTCAGCAGACAAAGAAACAAGAAGATGCTTGCGATTGCAGAGGCTTGTGCAATTCGAGTTTACAAACCAGGTCTCTGTGTACAAAAGGAGATGGTCGTCACTCTGAATCTACCATGGTAATACGTTTTACTTATTATCCTACCTGTTATTATTATTCTTGATTCATTCAAAACTATCCTTTATCAGTAGGATTATCGTAACTCACCTCAACATCATTATTATTGTTATTATTATTATTATCACTGTTACTATTAATATTACTCTGACACAGGTGACGATAAAAATAATGAAGGTGGTATGCAAAAGTTTAATGGTTATCTAACCGACGTCAGTTCATGATGAAATCCTGAAACCAATCAAATTCTTGCAAACCAAAACTTGAATATCAACCTGATGCTGACTAGTGAGTGACTTGCCCTATTCAGCTGAGTAGCTACCTGGGTTCTAATGGGAAGTCATGACCAGTGGGATATAGCAGGTCAGTCGGGTATGAGGACAAATACTCGCCATGGATGGCATTCACTAGTGATCACGCCATATCATGAATTGGCAGAAGTTGGAATTCATGCGTTGGCCACTGGATCAGGTCCCAGTGACTTAATGGTCTACAAGCTAGTTCGTCTTGTAACCGGAAGTTCCAGGGCTGGAACCCTGACGGTGGGTGCGTACTGCTAAAAAAGTCACAAACGCAGCTAACGAAGCAGCCAGCTATCCAGTACTCCCAGGTTTTTCGACGGTCCTCTAACCGATGTCACTTCATGATGGAATCCTGAAATATTCATTTAGTTCAGTAAAAAAGAACTATTTTCAGCCATTCTGTTTACTTAGCTTTACAGTCGCAGTTATATACGGTTGTTTGTTTAGTACCGTCAACTTCTTAAGGATCGCAAACAAAACGCAGTTTAGAATACCATTCAAATCATCAAAATATTTTGAAATAGTGAAGATTAATCTCGTCATTGTAGGCATCAACATGTGTATTACTCTAAGGGATCTCCTTGTAATGCTTGTTATTTCTTTCGCTCCACGTTCCTAGTAGAGCACTGAAGTTTCAGTAGGGGTCATATTTTTACCAAGTGAGGTTGTTAGCCTCAATGTACTCAATGTACTGTCTTTTCCAGGCTTACTGCTGGTTAGGTGGAATTTGGGTGTTCATCTGCCGGGGATGGAACCGCTGCATCACTTGTGTGGCTGACAGGTATTCTATCAATAAATCACCGACGAACACCGTTCCCATAACTTCAAACACCGAAGAGATACCCGCTAAGCCACTATGGCTGTGTGACACTTTTAATATCCAGTAATCGTTTCAGGTGTTACTGAGAGATTTCTACTGTAATTGGAACTATTATCCTCTTAAAAATAGTGGTTACTGAACAGAGAATATTCTTTTCGGTAACTTCATCATTATATTAAGGGCTTCAGAGCATATTCCTAAATGGCTCCAGAAACAAATGGAATCTTCAGAACCCATTAATGGTGAGAACAGGAGACCTAGCTCCTCTATTGCTAAACATATTATAGAGACAGGACATAAAATTGACGTTAACAGATCTTTTAAACCTATCTATAAAACGTGTTTGGGGGTGGAGTATCCTAAAGTTTGTGGAAGTCCTAGCTGGCGATTAGAAAGTTTAAACCACCTGTATGCGTTCAAAGCAACAATTCGTCATCACATTAAACAACCTTCCTTGGTAAACTTTGTTTTGATACCATAGCAGATGTACTATTACTTCTGCTATTTGGTTTAGTGGTCTTTATTGTTATTTTGACCATCAATATGTCCTCCTTTTTACCTTGACCTAACTTGTCTATTTTCTCACCTCTTACCTCTTTATTAATTTCATCATATATATTCCTATGACAAGTCCGTGGAGTGTGATCAGATTGCTCGAAATGTGTTGTACACGGCATTACACATTAAATACGTTCTAATTTTATCTGAATCTATTTAAAAGCAAAATCCTTGAATACTTACCATGTTTTAATAAATCTAAGAAGAGTTTAACAACTTCATAATCTTGTAGAAATATGATCATATTTTGATCATTAGTAAATAATGAACTAAATCCACCCCAGTCTTTAAGGAATAACTGCGACTTGTACTTGTCGCCAACTCGATCAGATAAGGCTAATTTGTGAATAAACTGAAAAATAAAAAATACAAAAGATTTCAAGTTAAATGAAAGAATATGAAGAATTGACTGAGTAATATGAAAATGTAGAAAAATAAATAATATGAGCATGAGAAAGTATGAAATACAGATCAATCATGGAATATATTCAAGTGTTGGTTTGTAGGGATTTGACTCGCTCTCCGGATTTCATCATGAACTGACATTGTGGTTAGACGACTCCCTGGCAGACCTGCAGGGAGTACTGCCAGGCAGCTGTCTCATCCTCGTTTGGGACTCATCAGCAGTACGCATCCACCTCAGTGGTCGAACCCAGGAACTTTTTTTGGTTACAAGACAAGCTCGTAGACCATTAAGTCAATGGGACCCGACCCCTCAATGGTCATCCAATGAATTCCAATCTGTGACAATTCATGATATGGTGCGACCACTAGCGAATGTCATCCGTGGCAAGTGTTTGTCCTCACACCCGACTGACCTGCTGTAGCCCACTGGTCATGACTCTCCCCTGGGACCCAGGTAACTACCTATGTGAATACGGCCAGTCACTAGTGAGCATCAGGTGTTGGTTTGTAGGGATCTGATTGGTTTCAGGACTTCATCATGGACCGCTGGATAGGGTCCCAGTGGCTGAATGGTTTACGAGCTCGCCTTGTAACCAAAAAGGTTCCTGGGTTCGAACTCTGTCGATGGGTTCGTACTAATGAAGAGTCCCAAGCTATCCAATACTCCTTTCTTGTTTTCCAATGGTCCTCTAACCGATGTCAGTTCATAATTATATCCTGAAATCATTGAAATAAGAGTAAAGAGTGGGATAAGGCGTTGAAGTGTTAGGTTTCACTAAATATTGACTGAGAATGCTTCTGACCACATCACAAGGTGAACAAAGTGGATGAAGATGCCTCTATTAGATGTTGGGATGCAATCTCCAGAAAGCCCTGTCTGACCTAGATATCGTGCTTGTTGGTACTCACCAGTCAGCAAGGCGTATCTACAGATTTCAAGGAACTCATGTCCCTTCTGAAATTCAAACCAGTGGTGCAGTGAGAGACGTTACCACTGAGCTTTCGGGCTACGATTTACCTCCTGTAGGACTGTACTAGATATTTTGAATGAACACTACCTAGTTAGATGTACAGGTGACACAGGATTGAATTCAAGAGGACATATGGACTCCTTCAAGGTTGCAGATAAGCCTTCCTGATTGGTGAGTACCAACAAGTACGGAGCCTAGCTCTCGGGATTCCTGGCGATTGCCTTCAATCATCTAATAACAATAACAATTGAGGGTGCACCGTGATGATGAGTCACTTAGCATGGTGGCCATATTCAGAACTCAACACCTAACAAACGACTAGAAGCATAACACTAGATTCACCGTTCTCTGTAGATTAGGGCTAAAAATGACCCGAATTTTCACCGAAGAATTCTTCCCATCAAGTTTATCAATGTGCAAAGGAGGATTTACAACAGAAAGGTAAAACCAAAGTTAGAATTTGGGTTATAAAACCATTCCATATTTTTGCCAAAAATCTCCGGTTTTCCCATGAATGTAAACCATTTAAAGATGTGTAAGAATATTAAACAACTTCCCTAATTTCAAATGTTGCAAGAATAACTCCCACTTTTTTATATAGGGTTCTGATTATCCATCTAAATGACTACAATCTGGGTTCAGCACCTAGAATTACGAAAGAGGGTTTTAAAGTTAGACTTTGGTTCCACATACTTTTTCGGTATTAAATATACTCCATTAACCCTGAACAATACTCGTTGTGATTAATTAACTGCTCCTGTGGAGCCAGTTACATAGCCGTACAATGGGGGCGTGTTTCTCATCGGATCTCCGAACATCACCCTGCATATTGGTTAAGTAAAGGACAAACAAAATCTATTCGTAGCGCTCGCTCACATGGCCCCACTATCATTGATGGCATAAAGGTTGAAACTACATCTAATGTCAAGTACCTTGGGCTGAGTATTTCCTGCGATCTTTCCTGGTCCTCTCACATCTTACTAGTTACTAGAAAGATGTTTCGCTTAACGTTCTACGTTAGGAAATTAAGGTAGTCTGGTATAAAGAAGTCCTTGCTTTCTCAGTCTGCCATCTCTTGTTTTCTACCCATCCCTCTTTACTGCTCCCCATTAATCTTTCCTGGACTACTTAAAAAAGACTTTGCTTCGCTGCGTAGGGCACTAAAAGCTGTTAGTAGGGGAAGTGGGATTTCGTTAAACCAACTGGTTAACACTATTGTGGATAGACATATAATGTCATGTAAGAAACTAGTGAATTCTATATTGTCAGACGCTGAGCATCCTCTCTCTACGCAGCTCTCTTCTTGCATTTCATCTGGTAGAACTAGAAGCAGCTGTAGGAGGCTATATGCTAGGATTACCAAGTACAAAAACTCCACAATACCTTATCTGGCACAGCTGTTATGTGATGAGCAATCCGTTAGGTATGACACGATCAACTTACTGCGGCACTCTAACAAATAGTTCCCATTAGTTTTGTTTTCCTTTCTGTGTTACTATTATATTGTTGTTCACATCTTCTATTACAAACTAATGTTATAATTCATATTTCTGTGGTGCATTGTTTAAAATGTGAATGCAACGCTGTTCTTTTTTTATTTCTTTTATTTATCTATTTTTTATTGTTGTTGCTTTTTGTTTTTAAAATCTTGTAAAATTTATGAGGTAATTAGATGCAATATTGTAATGCACGCTGAAAATTCCATACCTCTACCACAAATACTGTTTGGAATAGAGCTGTTTTTATTATTATTATTCTATCTCATCTTGTGGATGCAACAGAACACTAGATTGATGTAAACGAGGCGGCTTTCAAAGTCATTTACCGCATACCAACAAATCTTAACTTCACCTTAAGAGTTCATTTACTAAATATTGCTGAGGCTGGCCGTTGGGATCCACATTAAGAAGCCTAATTTCTGTGTCCAAAAGAAGTTAGTTCAGACATTACCCTTACCCCACTGGCCATCTAGGTTTGAATGATCCTCAATTTTTGTAGAAATTTCCTTAATTTTAGTTGATATTCTATTTGCTATTATATTTTTACTATTATTATTATGATTTAAGCATCTTTAATGAACTGTAATTTCATTGTGATCTTACTTAACAAATCGATATTATTTAAAAAACACACTAATATTGTTATTGACTACTATTCTAGAATATTCTATGTATGTAAACGTCTATATAATTGTAGAGCCAGAAGAGGAAAATTATCGAAAAAGGGGATATTCTTTGCTCAATTATTTTGTGTTATATAGATGTCTGAATGAATGCATTTTCGCTATATCTTTGTTTGTCCAAATGTGTCTTTCATTAGTGGCGTCCGTCAAGGATGCCCATTTTCCCCATTTCTATTCAACTTCATGAAAGATGTACTAATGGACTTAACCCTAACTCACTTCAGCGACTCAGGGATTGACTTGCTACCATGCAATAATCTCGTTGACTTAGAATATACAGACAACATAGTCCTTCTAGGCAAGAACGCTGACAAAATGCAAATGCAGAGTCTTCTGAACACCTTGAGCTGCAATCTACGAATGTTTGGCATGCGATTCGCCCCTGTAAAATGTAAGATGATGCTGCAGGATTGGACTTCATCGACTCCTAGATTAGAAATAGGAAGTGAAGTGGTAGAACACGTTGACCGGTTCACTTACTTGGGAAGTACCATCAGCCCCAACGGGTTGATCTCTGTCGAAATCTCAGCAGGAATACAAAGGGCTAGTTTCGCATATGCCAGTTTACGCCGTCTCTGGCGTAGACGCGATATCCGACTATTGACCAAAGGGTGCGTGTACTGCTCAACAGTCCGCTCCGTCCTCCTTTATGGCTGTGAGACCTGGCCATTGAGAGCAGAAGACATGAAAAGATTATCTGTCTTCGATCATAGGTGTCTGCGTTCTATCTCCCGTGCGAAGTGGTATGATAAGGTGAGCAATATTGAGGTTAGGCATCGGTCGAGTGCTAGGTAAGGAGGGGAAATCAATCGACGAGGCTGTGAAATTACATCGACTGAGATGGTTAGGACATGTGTTACGCATGCCTAGCCTAGTCATCGCCTTCCTCGACAACGGGCAATGTTAGCTGACATAGGGCCAGGCTGGAAAAGAGCTAGCGGCGGTCAAACGAAAACATGGCACCAGTCAATGAAATCCACAACAGTTAGTTTAAGCCACGTAGGAAGGTGTAGACTTCCAGACTGGTTGGGGTCCTCGGGACGGTAAAAACCAATGGTTGGAAACAATTGGTGACATGGCTCAAAATCGTTCTCAATGGCTGGCGGAGATGCATCCACTCCTTGTGACTTATGATTTCCAATGAAACTGTTTTGTTCTTCGTTATTACTATTCCTTTGTCTCACACCTCTGTTTACTGTCTCTAATATGCATTTCTCCTTCTACTTTCTTCTCTTGCTTTGTGCGCTACATGGAGGCAGTGTGGCGACTTGAACTGCCGCACATAGGTGCAAAGTTCTATGTCGAAAATAGAAGACAGACAGTGTCTTTCATTATAAAAAAAACAGCAAGTAGGTCATGTATATAATAAATAACTCTTACCTTTAATACTAATTTTTTAGTCTCAACATCCACTTGATCATCAGATTTTATGAGTAAACTGTACAAATGTACAACTAAATCTGATTCATAAATTAACAGAGTCATTTGATCACCAGCATTTGAAGTATCGAAACAATTCGCCAGCAGTTGGATAACATTTCTCACCTAAAGGGAATTCAATAAAAATATTCTCTGTTGTATATCAAAAGTTAACAAAAGTTAAAATTTATAGATTACTAAATTCCGTCCTGGTAACTGAATGATTGACAGACTTGTGTCATAAACTAAAAGTCTCTTGATTCAATCCATGACTGTCCATAGAGTGCATATCTTTATATTATTATTTATATTTTATTCCTTTGCATTTCAACTGAAGCATAGGGCTCCAAGCTTGATCTTTGAAGTGTTAGTAGCAGTCGTGTTTATCTTTTTAAGGGGATGGGGGATGGGCCAGCCTCACGCCCAGCCTTCCTTCTTTTACCGAGCTTACTACTGGCTAAGCGAAGTTTACGAGTATGTCAACCGGGGATCGAACGTCGAACCACTTGTGTGGTTGGCGATGCTTCTATTGAGTATGACGCGTCAACTTCACACATAGCTTTTACCATCTAAAACCACGTCCTCGAAGAACGATCTGTACCCAAGTGAATTCCGAAACTACTTTGGATATACCACTGAGTATGTTGAAAGTTTGGAGCATGATTCGGATAAAGTAATATTCCATTAAATGATAAACCTAGGACAAATGTTTCACTTAAACATTCAATACAAGCAGTGAATAAAAACATACAGGAAATTCTGTACTAGTTGTAAATTTCTGTCAGTAGTACAGGATATTCAGGTAACTCCCATCGAAACTTTTCTATGGGAGCCACTACAACCTCTTTAGTATTACCAGATCTAGTCGTGTCTTGGTGGGAAAGTCTTCACCACACTACATCCATCCCTGAAGTTGGCTGACGTTAATATTTTTACCGTTTGTATAAACAAGACTACATCTTCCACTATGAAAGTGTTTTCATGAACATGACCTGCCTACACCAGTGTACATTCTTTCTCTACTAAATAACATATCACATATCGTAATCTTGACTCTTGTTATACACTTAACTGTTCTATCATTAATTTCCCTTCCTATCATACAAAACATTAGGACGGGACAGAGAAGAAATACATTATTAATTAGTACGTTGTATGCAAGCCACAGACTAATCATTCGGTCTTCGCCTAGATAGAAGGTTGTGCCATCACTAGCCAATCAAAACACAGCTTTTTTAAATACTAATATTCTGTTCAGTTCAATTTAGATTTTCCTGTCGATTGATTAGACCGAAGTGCTCAGTCTCAGGTGTTGATATTTCTTCTCCTTGTGCAGATGTTTCGATGATGTCTGGTCATGTAACTTGGTTGGAACACCATCACTCACTGGAGAATGCAGGTCCATAAAGTGACGAGTCCCAAATAGGACGAAATGCACGTTGTCCTGGATTCTGCTGCCAGTCACCTATTGGTCACATAAAATTAACTATATAGATGACTATAATAATTTTCGGTTATTAGCCTTCAGGAGAACAGATCTTGCCTCCTCAGTTTGTTATCTGTGTCTTTTCACTGAGGTCATTTGTATACTATCATCATATGTTGAATTGCTGTGAGTAAAATAACAACAGTTTTCACAGCCCTAAATCAGTCATTCTGAAGGAATCTGAATGAAGTGAACGTGTTGGAACCACAGTGCAACAGAAGAATGATTCCTGTCTTCCTCATGGTAACAAAAGGAATGTTTCCAAAGGTGTGCTATTCGAATTACAAGTTTTAGATAAATAGTCATATGATACAGAAAGGAGAAATCTTGCCAGAGGAGTACGAATCAAACTTATTCAAACCGCAGAAATGATGGCAATCCAAATGTTAAATTCCGAACAAAGATGTAGTCACTGAACAACCTACAATAGATCTCCATTATGGATAAGATTTTATTTTGATAAATCACACAGTGATGTTATACAGTAATATTAACTGATGACGTTTCGAGCACAAACTATTGCTCATAATCATATCATATGATATGATTATGAGCAATAGTTTGTGCTCGAAACGTCATCAGTTAATATTACTGTATAACATCACTGTGTATATTATCATTATTATTGTTCCCTTGGGTTCCTAGAGGAACATAGGGCTTCAACTGCACGTCTTCACTTGCTTCTGTCTTCTGCTGTACTTTTCACTTGTATCCATGTTAGTCCATACTGTTTCAACTCTTCTTCACACGATCTCCTCCATGTCACCCTTGCACTGACGTCCCACTACTCGCCGCTTCCCTTTCGGATTCTACTCGAGCGTTGGCCTGACGCACGATGTCACTAGGCGGCCTCCTCAACTGAGTGTCCAATCCATCTCCACTTTCTCCTGCATATTTGTTGGGCGATTGGTTCTTGTTTTGTTTGTTCCCATAGTTTCTTGTTGATGATTCTTTTCGGCCATCTGATCTTCAGTATAGAGCGAAGACAGTTGTTGATAAACATCACTGCGTGATTTATCAAAATAAAATCTTATCCATAATAGAGTTATACTCTACCACAGTGCCTGAGTTTTATACTTATATCATTAATACAATAGATCTCACTTGTATCTACACCGAATACATAAATTTTTTAAAGTTAGTTCTTCTACTCAGTCTTGTAAATTACATCACATCAAGCCATTTACACAAAAAAAAAAGCCATTATTATTATTAAAACATTTTGGTTTTTACGCAATCAACGTTTCCTCCAATGAGTAATTAATTGTTGTCTAAAACTTAACATTTTGATGACACATATTCAGAGGAACACATTTCGGTGGATGCATACTGTCCGGAGTCCTAGTGAGAAGTTGTCACCATTGGGGTCAATCCGGTCGGCAGTGAGGACAAATACTCGTTGATGACACTGGCTGGTGGTCGTGTTAAAATCACGAACTGGTAGAAGTTAGAATTCATGGACTGGCCATTGAATTGGGGGCCAGTGGCTGAATGGTACAAAAGCTTGTCTAGTAACCGGCAGGTCCTGGGTTCGAACCCCAGTGGACACGTTCTGATGAAGAGTCTTCTGAAATAGAACGAAACAGCTTTCCAGTACTCGCTAGTTTTCAGTGGTTTTCTGACAGGTATCAATTTGTGAACAATCTATATAACCTTGGAACCATACAGCGACACTGTTCCCACTCACACTCAAAACCAACAACAAGTAGAAGACGAAGAGAAGAGGCAAGGGAAGAGCAACTTACCAGTAACATTGTTGGACAAGTTGTTATAAAATTGATCAATGTAATTAAATCTTTAATTTGTGTATTTGGTATAATTTTTGCTTCAATCAACTTGCAAATATTTATTCTTATCTCTGCTATAACATGTAATTCATAGGCGTCAATCTCATCAATTGTATTTGTTATCGGTGGAACAGGAATTGTTAGACAATCGATATTATTTTCTCCTGTTTGTGATTGTGGTTGTGGTGATAATAGCGGTGGGCTTGTTTGCAGAAAGTTTAAACATGAGCCTAAAACTCTAAAAAAATAAATGAAAATGAAAATCAACAGAGAGAAATGAAAGTTTCTTTCAAAAACTAATATGTTAATTCATTAATAACAAGGTGATCTGCGGGCTAGGGGGTGTAGGGAATAACGCCCCAAGCGTGGAGTTTCAGTGAGATATTTTTTACGCATTCGAGATTTTAAGTGCATCCATACACTGAGAAGTCCCAAAATAGAATGAAATGTGCATCCTTGTATCTCTGTGCTAGTCAGAGAAACACAATTCCGTTGTTTTTTTTTTTGCATAGCTTGACTCCACACTGTATTTTTGGTACAAGTATGGAATTTTCAGCATGTGATATTGGTAGCCCAAATTTTGCAGGCCGACCATTGGTATCCGGTGTGCGCCGGCAGAAGACCGAACCCCGGACCATGTGCATGGTCCCATCAAACCTCTATTTGACTTTAAATGATGTATAACATTGACAAATTGACATGGTATACATGAACATTGATGATGTTCAATAATAATAATAATAACAGCTTTATTCCAAACAGTATTTGTGGTACAGGTATGGAATTTTCAGCGTGCATTACAATATTGCATCCAATTACCTCATAAATTTTACAAGATTTTAAAAACAAAAAGCAACAACAATAAAGAAAATAGATAAATAAAAAGAAATAAAAAAGAACAGCGTTGCATTCACATTTTAAACAGTGCACCACAGGAATATCAAATATAAAATTAGTGTGTAATAGAAGATGTGAACATTAATATAATATTAACTAAGAAAGGCTAACAAAACCTAATGGGAACTATTTGTTAGAGTACCGCAGTAAGTTGATCGTGTCATACCTAACGGATTTCTCATCACATAACAGCTGTGCCAGATAAGGTATTGTGGAGTTTTTGTACTTTGTAATCCTAGCATATAGCCTCCTATAGCTGCTTCTAGTTCTACCAGATGAAATGCAAGGAGAGAGCTGCGTATAGAGAGGGTGTTCGGGGTCTGACAATATAGAATTCGCTAGTTTCTTACATGACATTATATGTCTATCCACAATGGTGTTAACCAGTTGGTTTAACGATATCCCACTTCCCCTACTAACGGCTTTTAGTGCCCTTCTCAGCAAAGCAAAATCTTTCTTAAGTAGTCCAGGAAAGATTAAAGGGGAGCAGTAAAGAGGGATGGGTAGAATACAAGAATTGACAAACTGAGGAAGCAAGGACTGCTTTATACCAGACTGCCTTAACTTCCTAACGTAGAACGTTAAGCGAAACATCTTTCTAGTGACTAGCAAGATGTGAGAGGACCAGGAAATATCGGAGGAAATACTCAGTCCAAGGTACTTGACATTAGATGTAGTTTCAACCTCTATGCCATCAATGATAGTGGGGCCATGTGAGCTAGCTAGTTGCTGTAGGTCACGTTTTCGTCTGAAAGTGAAACTGACTACCTGACATTTAGACGGATTTAGCTTAAGACCGTTTGAAGAGGACCACTGACTAATTTCCGACAGAAAGTTATTTAATTTGGAACAGTTTGACTGAGAGTTGACAGGCATGGAGACAGAGAGGTCATCAGCATACTTGACAAAAGTGGCTACATCAGAATGGGGCAAGTCATGTAAGAAAAAAAGAAAACAGAAAAGGAGAAAGAACAGCACCTTGAGGAACACCAGCTAAAGTAAGTGAAGTAGTGGGGGACTTTCCATTATAGACGGTGTACTGCTTCCTATCAGAAAAATAGGAATGCAACCACTTATTTGTCCAGCTTTCAGCCTGTGTTGCAGCAAGCTTACTTAGCAAGAGAGACCTAGGTACAGAGTCAAATGCAGATGTGTAATCGAGGAAGGCACACCTAACGTATTTAGCTCCTCTATCTAAATTAGTGAGGGCTGAAAGAACTAAGCTGACAACAAACCCATATTTTACTCAGTGAGGAACAAAATTTGTCATCAAGGCCATAGAGGAACAAGATTTGCATTATAAAATGTGCGAATTTTATTTCTCGGCTTCCAAGCATTTGAGAACAGCTCAGAAGTAGTCACTCTTCTCGTCTGTTAAACAGAAACTAACATTTTAAGATCATTGATATCAAAATAGAACTCGGGTACTGCGATAGATTATAATTCGATTATAGGGAAATATTATTTTGATTAAGTCTCACAGTGTTGTGATGCAGTAAGTAATATTTACTGATGTCAGTACTATGGGGTACCACCGACAATTATACATCTGATCCAACAGCTGTACGACAATGCTGCATGACAAGTAATCCACAACGGGAAACTTACGGAATCCTTCGAAGTGAGGACAGGAGTAAGACAAGGCTGCCTACTATCGCCAATGATTATCCTGATTGCAGTAGACGGGATAATGCGAGAGACAGTGCGGAATGAGGAAATAGGCATAAAATGGACTCACACAAAAACCTTGGAGGATATGGACTTCGCCGACGATATATTTCTGATTTCCGACAAACTGGAAGATATGCAAGCGAAAAGCAACAAATTGGCAGAAGAAACATCAAAGATAGGACTTCAGGTGAACCTAGAGAAAACAGAGGTGATGAAGATTCCTGGCGAGCAACAGACAACGATCAGCATAAATGGGAGGAACCTGAAAGAAACAAACTCTTTCACCGAAGTGGGAAGCGTCGTTTCAACTACAGGCGGACGGAACTGACGAGGATATCAAAGCAGCGAGGATCGGAAAAGCAAGACAAGCTCTCACTACTCTCACCAAGTCTGTGTGGAGGTCAACATCACTCAGCATCAAAAATAAGATCGGGATTTTCAACTCCAATGTGAAGTCAGTCAGTGCTATTATACGGATCAGAGACTTGCACTGCGCGTCATAAAGAGTATCTCAAACAAACTACAGACCTTCATTAACAGTTGTCACCGCTCAATACTCAAGATCAGATGGACAGAAAAGATCAGAGACAGAGATCTCTGGCAAAGAGCGAACCAACCAGGAACCGATTGTGAAACAAATAGTCAGGAAGAAATGGAGGTGGATTGGCCATACTCTTAGGAAACCATCAAGTGACATCACTAGACAAGCCCTCGAGTGGAACTCGCAAGGGAAGCGGCGAGTTGGTCGTCAGTGTGAGAGTGACTTGGAGGAGGTCATGTGAAGAGAAGATGAAAGCGTGTAGACAGACTTGGTGCCAGGTGAAGACTCTAGCAGAGAACCGAACGCAATGGAGACGCACGGCTGAAGCCCTATGTTCCTCTAGGAATTAAAGGAAACAATAATATTAATAATAATGGTGGAGGAAATGTAGGCGTGCGGTAATAAAATCTTGTCTTTGTAAACATTCAGATTCTTGTTTTGTGAAGCCATTTATAGGATCACAACTGATCACTACAGAAGTCTCCATTTTCGCCATTATTGTGTAGCAAAATCACCGTAAATCAACAAATTCAGAAATTATGTTTAAACGCGTTTTATACACTTCAATAGTACCTCATCTGTAGATAGTCTTTATTGTGGATGTACTGAATGAGTAATTTTCAGGATCAATAAATCTCTTGTTACGTGATACACATTGAACTGAACAGAAATACTTCTTTTAGGTTAGACTACTCATTGATATCAGTTAGAGAACCAGTGGAAACCAGAGAGTACTGGACAGCTGTTTCATCCCGCTTCTGGACTATTCGACAGTATGCGACCACTGGGTTTCGAATCCAGGACCTGCCGCATACAAGCAGAGTTCGTTTATCATTCAGCCATTGGGACCCAACTCAGTGGCCAGAACATGAATTCTAACTTCTACCGATTCGTGATTTTAGTGCGACCACCAATCAATGTCATTGTGTGCGAGCTGCCGATGAGCCTCACTTCTTCCTGGTTTTTAATGATCCTGTAACTGATATCAATCCATGAACTAACCCGAAACAAATAGAGTCCCTACAAACTAATTCTTTCAGAAAAATATTACCATTCTGGATAGGAATATATATCTAAATCCTGCAAAGTTCCTGTATAACTTTCATATTACTTATTAGTAAGTAAATATTTAGAGCGAAATTTATCACCATCTTGACTTCCATTTACTCATTTTGAAAAGATAGTGGGTCAGTCACGAGCCTGAATAGCTAAGAAGTAAAGTCTCAACATTCACTGGATGACACGGGTTCGAGTCTCAGAATGGACATGAGTTCCTTCAAGGTTGCAGGTACTCCTTGCTGACTGATGAGTGCCAACAAGCACGAAACCTAGGTGGTCCAAGGCTTCCTCCAGATTGCCTCCAACCAACAAATATTATCAATTCAAAGTGTACTGCGATGGTGAGCCATCTAATTGGATGTTGGCCAAATTACAAACTTAACTGACAAAATCTAGCCTGCACCAAACAAAGGAATAAACACATTAAACTAGTTACTAACTAGTGTCCAATCAAAGTAGCTTTATCTATATATTGTAAGATAGAATTTTTTGAAAAGGTTTAGAAATTATGATTGCTTGTTGGTTTTCACCAGGTTGACAAACAGTTCCAACATTTCTCACTACCTAATGCAGGTCTTTAAACCGAAATTACAAGTGAGATCACGAACTGGCAACAATTAAAGGATCACTGTCCAGGGAATACTGGATAGTTGCTTCTCCTTCCTTCTCAGCCTTTCAGCAGTACGCACCAATGACCCCATCAGGGATCGAACCCAAAACCTTCAGATTACGATTTGAGGACGTTAACTGTTGAGTAGCAGTGGTTTAATTTTTTTTACGGGATGAGGTTGATAGTTTCACGCCCAACCTTCCCTTTTTTACCGATCTTAAAAACAGTTGATCAAGGTTCATGAGTGCGTCGGCAGGGAATCGAATTCCGGACCACTTGCTTGGTTAACCAGTGTCCTATCACTAAACCACTGACACTAACGCTAGTGTTAAAAATATTTAGATCTTATTCTATGTAGTACTAAGACAGCAGTAATAAGGGTAAATAAAAATCGATAAATAAAAAGAATAGCACGTTGTAACCAAGATGGTATAGAGGTTAACCACCTGGACACGTTTAA